CTACCATTTCTAGCCACGAAGAATGACAAACAGGCACTAAAAACAGCGTAGGCCTACCTTGTCTAATTATCATCACTCCACAATCCTTGGAGTTCATTTATAAATTTATTGATGTTGACGCTTCATCGGCGGAAATATATCTGAAAAAAACTATTAATTCCAATAAGTTTACCCTAGCCATAGGGTAGTGGTTCTCATCCTTTTTTGCCAATGGACACCTTGGAAAACATGAAAAAATAGCGGCGAACCTGGCTAAATATGAAAAATATTTGAATTCTGCTAATAAAAACATGGCTATTCATAAACGGTATACAACCGTAGACACAGACTAGTCATAGACACACAGAATGACTGGAACTAAACTACATAAAGAAAAACACAGCTATAAAATAATACTCATCAGTAGATACCAGTGAATACGCAATTGGGATCACGTTGTTTTTCGCATTTTCTTAGTGTGCCGTTCAAAATTTGGCGGCACACTTAGGAAGATATCGCGGCACACAGGTGTGCCGTGGCGCACTTGTTGAGAATCACTGCCATAGAGTAATACGGTATTAACTATTATGTGCCCTAGACTACTTTCTTTGTGCAACAATTGAAAAACAAGGATCACATAGTATAGGACTATACTGCAAATCGTTGATATAGGCCTACACCTACTACTGACGCGGAAGACGCTTCGAAGTGGGGATATTAATTTACATTTAGTAGTATATAGCTGGCCTACCTAGCTGTGATGTTTACACTTCGTTGCTATGGTTACATCAGTCATTTCTATTGCTAGATTTTGAAAGCGTTTTGGTTTCACCATAGAACTAGGCACAGTTTTAACATTGAAAGATAACATAACTGCTATATCTTGATCGACAAAATAATATTATTAATATTGCACTGGTCACGTTCGTAAGCAGATAACTCGAAATGCTCCGAACAAAGATAACCGAGGAGAAGCGTGTTTTGACATCGCCTCGTTGACATCGCTGTGTCCAGACCATTTTGCGTGTTGCCTCGCTTGAAAATTTTTAAAAAAATGACACGTGCTTCCTGATTTATTGTTTGTGCTATTAGTACATCCCGAAACAACGCAACTGACCATGTTTATGCTTCCAGTTGCGTTAGAGAAAATGACGGGGTGCAGGGCAATCTGTTTTACAGAGTATTAGGAAAATCTTCTAATATCTCTGTAAAAGATGACTGTCTTCAAGAAATGACGTCATATCACGCGGCGTCAATCATTGGCTCAATGGCGCGTGCGTTGTTTACATAAGACGTCACAGATTCGAGCAGAATTGCGCCTTTTACTCATTTTAATACCCATTTACATTAAAATAGGAAACAATTTTTACCTACAAATACTTCAAACGTCTTTATTTATTTTTCAAATACATAAAAAAAAGTTTTAGAACTTAATTTGTCGGAGGAAAATAGTTAATATTTGTGGCCCATTAAGTCGCATAGATGTCATCCTTATCAGTGATTGTCGCGGCCTAGCGAATATTCACTGCTGATCAGTTGCAATAGCCTTCTATAGGGAAATTCATAACGTCTGCCTTCTTTGACGTCACTCACGGAAGAAATCAAAATGAGGCTCCAGATATGCATAAATGTCAATTCGGATTTTTTTGGTACATTTTTCCTTTGTAAAAATATTCAGAATGACTTTTAAAATTTCGCAGGGCTAAACATATTCTAATATTAACGTTATTTTTCATATTGAAACAACTTTTTCCGATAGTATTCTCCTTTTAAGTAACAATCATAACAGTCGGCAATTATTATCGTATTTCGCTGATATGTGTAATAGTAATAGTCTCTAGAAAGGCCCATTGACCATTTTGGACATTAAAGGATGGTCCGATCCGTGTTACATTTGACATTCAAGCGATCTAAACATCGCCGGTATACAAAAGGTCAGTGCCAACCACCTTCAGTGTTTGATAGTTATGGCCATTATATTGCCTTAGGCGTTGTATTTCTCCGTACCTTTTTTGATATTACTTCGTTTTGAAAATAGTCACTTAAGGATGCGTTGCCCGCATTTTGAAACGTAAGGTCCTACTGACGACGGACATAATTATGTCATACAGTGCGCTTTGAGGTAAATTGTTCTCTTCTCCTCATCGAGTTATTTTACGGGCACGCCAAAGTGGACACTAGACCTCGGCTTTGCATCCCAACTGGACGGACGCTAGAAAATCCTTGGAAACACCGGGGTCTAACCAGCGCCTTACTCACGGAGCCACGGATTGTGAAGAAAGAACGCCTTCAATGCAGAGTTAGAGATGGTGTGTTCTGCTCATTTCTATGGAAGACCAAATGGGACAATATTCATGATTCGTGTTTCTACATTCCAGTTTGAATATTTTAGACATGAGCGCAACATTCTAAACTAATGATTCTTGTTTCTACATTCTTATATCAACATTTCATGCACAAAATCAACATTTTAAACAAGAAATTGACTTTATGTTTCATTTTCGGCGTTTTATCGGTAACTTTTATTTTGTAGCCGTGATAATTCTTATTTACGGCTACAATTGATAAACTATTCGAGGCTTTGCGCAATTAAAATTAGGTTCAATTGTAAAATTTTCAACACATATCATCACAGTTTGCATGGAAATAAGTAATTATGTTACAAATAGTGAAGAGTGGAACACCGAAATCTTAATCTTATCTTACAGAACAGTTTTTCTGTATTTTCGAGTGACATGAAATCACGTGATTCTGGTTCGGCGGCCATTTTAAAATGAACAGAAATTTCGCATAGCAGTTGGGTTTAATCAAATCATATAATTATACGGTAAGATTTTACCTTTATTTCAATGGAAATTGGTTTATTATATGTCAAGCTATGTACATGTACAGTACAGTTTGAGGTCAGTGTAATTTGAAATTAAGGGGGTTATTGGTCAGTAACTGTTTTGTAGTCAAATGATTACAAGTTCCAATATCCTAGGGTATTCCTCCTAAAAATGATCGCTAATTCCGCTAGGCGGGCAAATTCAAAATGGAGGCTTATTTTGGTGGGACACACACAACACCATGACTTTTAATTAATACATAATATTATTAGTGCAACGATTAATATCCACCATACTCGTCTGATTTGGTAGGATGAACTACCATGGAATTGTATGCTGACGCAGATGGGTGATGATGGCTCGATTTTTGTTGACTTTGTGGTGTTGAGTAGCAGTTTTTTGGTTAAATGTTGAAAAAAAGTATATTTGAGATTCCGGTCACAAATGTTGAGGTGGGCTTCGCGATGGTGTTTTTTTTTGTTTTTGTTTTTTGGTCTGATACAAATGATTTGGTTTGTAATGGCGATACTCAGGGATGCAAGCTGGAAAACACTTCTTGGTTACGCCATAAGGAGGGATTTAGTCTGGCGTGATACTCACGTACACCGTGCTCACCTCCACTTGGAAAAAGCTTATAACCGTGTAACGAGACAAAATTTACCAAATAATATAGTACAGCTAAATAGGAGTTATTTCCCTTAAGCCATTATCTCATCATCAACAAAGAAAAAAAAGTCCATGGTTGTGTTCTTGGAGTAACTTAATATTTTACGGTAGATCAGAGTCGTAATCGACCAGTACCTTTTATCCAAGTAAATTAGAGATGCTGATCGGGGGGCCTAAATATAACCTTAATTGGTCTGATGTTAGGCCAATTTGTTTTAAAAAAGACCTTCACCAAAAGAGATAAAAGTTTATTTTTATAAAATTGCTGTGTAAAAACATGATAACGCTTCTATGTGTGGGTCACTATTAAAATACTCCATTCCGTGCAAGTAAAGACAGCATGAACCTTTATTTCCCAGGAATTTCTGAGATCTTGCAAATAGCACCAGCTCTGTCGTAATGGACATAAATGCTACTCAGCGTGGATCGTATAATTCATTGATTGGGTCAAAAATAAAATTGTCGATTGCATTGGATACTATATGTTAATTTTTGCGGGGCAAATTCTAGGTCTAAAATATATTCGGTGTTACACTGTCGATACGGTCAGCCAAACGCAAATCTAAACTAAAAAAAAAAGCATGGATCCCATGCCATGTCGTAATTTCTTTCTTTATTAAAAAAACAAAACAACCCCCCCCCCCCACACACACACACACACACAAAGTAGTGCAATTTTACGAAATCTTAGGCACGTATACTAAGACCCAATCACCCCTTGCCACGCAAAGAAACTAACAAATAATGCATAAACAGTTATATTTATTTGGTTAATTGGTACTTCTATAATCAAAATATGCTAGTTATTACAACAGTCTATATATATCCTACATTTGCACATCATAGTTAGTGCTCTGCGTAAGATGCTTTATAGAAAGCGTGAAGGTCAAATGAGATGCGGCAGAACGCAAATGTAAAATGGAATGAGGGAAATGTAAAATGTAGACACGCCAAAAATAGCCCTTTTCCAATCAAACATTTGTCATTTGACACATTGCATTTGACGTTGTACATTTAAATTTGGCGTTAGAGGTATTTTGACTTCATTTTTACCGGTTTTAGGACTTTGTACATTGTACTTTTTACATTATAATCAATGGTAAAGACATTTTAGCAGAGCATTTAATATTGGCAGCCATACCTTTCCATAATTGACAGGACTGCAGGAGTGCAAAAGAATTCAACAAGTGTATGTAATGTTAATCCTAGTTAATGGACGTATAGCTCTATTCTTTGGAACCTTTGCATTCAATTTCTAGACAATGTATTTAATTGTAATTTGTAATCAATAATGTTCCGTCTACTTAGTCCTCGCGGCTTTTAAAAAATTACTTTGTCATTTGGGGATCAGCCATTTTTAATTACTTCCACATTGTCTTTAGGGGTATGCTTTTTTTCTGTTTTCATTACAAATGGCACTCGAAGCTATATAGTGCACGACGGCGTGTATCGATTATAAAATGTTCAGTGTGTCTTAAAGGTTGGATATTAAGATTCCAGACTTTCACGGTAAGATAACAACATCAATTTTGATTGAAATAAACCTTTATTGAATTCAAATTATGATTTTTTAAACTTTACTATGGATAATGCTGCTTTAAAGGTTCAGCTCCTTTAAGCTTAGATATCTGTAAGTATAAACATTTTGGGTGAAAGCCATCTTGCTCAAATATGTTGCATGAAGTTTTCCATAAAATAAAATACATTTTAGATTAATAACAAGTTCACCACGATGCTGGTGTCTCCACCTTAATTCTTGTTTAGAACCACTGGTTTTAGGTTTTTCAAACAAATTGCCTATCACTTTGCTTAGGCTAAGCATACATGTCTATTATCGACATAGTCTAAGTATTGATGGGATAAAACTGTAGACTTTGTATCACTCAAATAGAATCTAAGTTTAAGTTATGTCTTCAAAATTCTCAAACAACAAAATGGCTTATCACACTGCTTTGTGCAGGTTTAAAACCTACACAGTAAATGGTCATTACTGAACTTCCTAAAGGTACTAATGTAATAAAACTATACACAAAGCTTCACTACTCTCCTGTCTCACTCATTTGGAATCAAATTTATCTTGTTCAAAAGCATTGCCAACTCAAATTGTTTAGCTCTTTTTATGTTAAGCAGGAATGCTCAATATTAAACCAAGTCATTACATTCAGCTAATAAACACCTATACCAAGTATAAACATTCTACCTCAATTAGAATCAGAGTTATTGTCTTCATTGAGAATGTGTGGTGGATGGACAAATCTATTCAACTGTCCCCAGTTTTCTCTGATGGGTTACTGGGCAGGCCTGGAAATAACGGTTTTAGATGTACCTGACAAAATGTCAGGCACTAATGAAATAGTACCTGACAGTTTCAAATTAGTGCCGGACATGTATTAATAATATCAATAAAAAAGACAAATCAGTGCCAGACAAAATGACAGGCACCAAAGGTTTAGTGCCTGACAAAGCCTGAATCTGTGCCTGACATTGTCTGTTACAGGTACCTTATTTCCAGCCTTGGTTATGGGACAATTTTTAGCATGATAATGTATCTCTATATTCTGAGCTTATTGATGCTACAAATTGATTTAATAATTAAAGATGAAAAGGACATCTATGTAAATGATCAGAGAATAACTAGATTACATAACAATTTAATTTTAAAAATCAAAAATTCAATTTAATTAAATTGTTTAAGCAACATTTAGTAACTAACTCAGAATAATAACACATGACACAATAATATAGAATACAAGAGATATCTCCTCTTTATCAAGCAAAGAAATAAAAGTACAAAATGAAATGAAATGGGGTTTAACGTCCTACTGTTTTGCTCCTAAACTGGGCTAATGAAGACGGGCATACGCCATACAGTGTGCTATGAGGGAAATTTTGCTTGGGCAGCGGCGCTACGGCCTACTCTTATATCGAATTCCAACTGCCAAGGGATCTTTTACGTGCACGCCAATTTGTACACGGGACCTCGGTTTTTCGTCCCATCCGAACGACTAGACAGCTGTCCTTGTCAGGCCGTCCGTCCTGCATCACTGACAAGGAAAAAACCACGCCGGAAAATCTGGATGAACTTTCTCGGCCAATGCAGGGATCGAACACCCAACCTCCAGGCTAGCGAGCCAGCGTCTTACCCACTTAGCCACGTGATTCCCAAATAAACATACAAGTAACTTGTATTCCGTATTATTATTTTAATAATCAAAGATGAAAAGGACATATGTAAACGATCAGAGTATAAGTAGATTACATAACAATTTAATTTTCAAAATCGAAGAAGGAAAATAAAATAATATTGTAAAATTTATTGTTTTTCTTCTATAAGAGTAGAGAATAAAGTCCAGCTAGGGTGTACATTCATATTTTTAAGCTTCTCAGCAATAACGTCATAAACCATTTCGTATTTTAACAAGCCAACAGTGAGGCTGATATCTCATAAATTTGTCTTCGCAAACAAAACCGCTTCTGTGAAATTATCTTTCATGGGCGCCGCCTTATTGAATACTTAGTGGACTATTTCGTGATTCCACTCTGATCAGTTTGACATCTTTCATACACACAACGGCTAAAAAATCATATTTAATTTCATTCAATATGAACATAGATGAGAAATAAAAACTTCTAAAAATTTCTAAAAGCATACTCAGTGTTTTCGACTAAAATCATCGATGTAGGAATTAAAATGTTGGTTAATTAGCTTAGGGCCTGTTCTCAGGCGGAGCTAGCTGTAGACAGGCTTATACTCTGAGATCCATCGATCTTACTCAATTTTGAACCAAAGTTATTGTGTTCCAAAGTCTCAACCAATCAAACTGCTTATCTCTGTCTAGCCTTAGTGGAAAATGTGCATGATCAAACACTGTCAAAAGGCATCCACCTAATTAACACCTACATGTACAAAGATTGAACATTCTACCTCAATTAGGAGAGTTATTGTGTTTCAAAGTTACGACCAATCAGATTGAAATATCTACGTAGCCTAAGCAGAAAATGTTCATCATCATCACACTTAGTCAAGGTACATGTACATGTATTGATGTAATGAAACTTTACACAAAGTTTCACCACTCTCACTCAATTAGAATCCAAGTTCAAAAACACAACACAATTTATATGGAAAACAAACACTGGTTTATACACATATAGCATGAGGTTTTAACAAGTATTCTCTTACCATTTTCATGTACAAATGATAATTAGTAAACTAAAAGGTAATATTTATAGTTCTATAAAAAGAGAGAGAGAGAGAGAAATGGGGTTTAACGCCCACTCGACACAAACTAGGTCATTTCGGGACTAACACATGGTTCAATTTTATTTCAATAATTCGCTTGTGCGTAGGGGTCTTTAGCAGTGGGAGGAAACTGGAGGACCCGGAGAAAACCCAAGAGGTTGGACAGGCGACCCTACTCCTTGTCACGTACAACCGGGGCTTCGAAACCCCGCCAGGTGACTCAATGACAGACCGTATGATACAGCGCAGCGCGCAAATCCTAACCATTCGGCAATCCAACCCCACCCACCCCTATAAAAAGACGCCTAAGACCTATGTTGTTACAATGCAAAGTTACATAAATAAATAATAGGGTAATTGAAAGGGGTTTAACATATCATCAATTGTGTTGTGTTTTTTAATGTGCTCAATCGCTAAATGCCACTCAAGGATTAGAATCAAAGTTGTTGAGCTCCAAAGTCTCAACCAATCAAATTGCTTATCGCTCTGTTTACCCTGAACAGAAAATATTATCAAACTTAGTCAAGGTATTAATATAATGAAACTATACACTAAGTTTCATGCTCTCAGTTCATTAGAACTACCGTAAAGTTATTGTGCCCCAAAGCATCAACCAATCAAATTACTTATCTCTGCTAAACTTAAGCAGAAAAATGCCATCTTCAAACTCCATCAAAGCATTCAACTAATAAACACCTACACAGAGTTTTAAAATTCTAGCTCAATAAGAAGGAGAGCTTTTGTATCCCAGAAAGTGTGAAGGACAGACAGACCCATTTTAATACTCTCCTGCTTTCTTCGAAAGGCGGGGAACAAAAAATTTGAAATAGACAAGAATGTACAATTAAAATAAATCCATCTTAAATTCCATAACCACAACAAATTAATAATACATGACTAATACATGTATACTTGTATCTTTAATTTGTATGTGTATATATAATGACATTTAGGCTTAAAATATGCTCCAGATTTACTGTAAAAGAATACTTTTATATGCCAGATATGCAATCTGATTGAAACACAGATCCTATTTGGTTTCCTTTCGGAAGAGTTGTTATATTATATATAACAGGCGTTCTGCTTGATGTGAGGAATTAGCATGCGGTGAACAGAAATGTGGGTAAACCACTAGAAAAGTCAACGCTGATTAATCATGTCTAACGTCATAAGGGTCAAAAGACGCTCTTATGACCCCTGACGCAACCTCCCACTACAGCTGGTCAGATCCTTATGTAGTAGAGGCCATCGAAATTATAAAAATCGAAAAGAAATATAGATCTGTATTTTAATCAGATATGCCAATGGGCCTTGATTATTTGAATGCTTTCATAAGGGTTGTCATTGATACCTGATTTAATGAGTCAATATTCTTAATTTTCATAACCACAAATTGATAACAAAAATGATTAATATATCAATAATTTGTATGTGTATATACATGTATAATGACATTCGAATTTAAACTACATGTATGCATCAGATTGACAGTAAAACAAAACTCTTTATGGTATACATGTACATCAGATATTTGCATCAAATGAGCCTTGATTATTTTAATGCTTTGTAAAGGGCTGTTATTGTCATTGTTGAGAAACCTGATTTATTGAGTAAATGTTCTGTGTGAGAGAGAGAAATGGGGTTTAACGTCCACTCGACACAAACTAGGTCATTTCGGGACTAACATATGGTTTAATTTTATTTCAATAATTCGCTTGCGCGTAGGGTTCTTTAGTAGTGGGAGGAAACTGGAGGACCCGGAGAAAACCCACAAGGTTGGACAGGGGACCCTACTCCTTGTCGCGTACAACTGGGTAAATATTCTGTAATCTTATCACAAAACAGAAAGGAATTTAGAAAGGAATGTAATGTATTTTATGCATTAAAGGGACATTATGAGAGATTAGATAAAAAGTTGACAGTTCTCGCTATAATAGTTAAAAAATAGATAACGTAAATATAATATGCTGAAAATGTCAGTCAGATTGTTCAACTCTGAACCGAGATATCAGCTTTTGAATTTTAGGCTAGCCTCAATCGTCATCTCTAAAGTCGGTACGATAAAAAACAAAGTCTTGATTATCTATTTTTATGTTTAATTATTTTTCAAAAATGTATTCCAATCCACTAAACATCGCAGGCTAGTGATGATATCGAGAGTTGATTAGGGTCTGGATAAGTTAATTAATGCCCAATTTAGATAACATTTCAGGGCTAAAGAAAGACCTGCAATAGGCAGATTTAGCTCTTGCATAATCTACATGTATGATTAATTACTGTCTAGCAATTTTTTTTTTTATATATTATAATAACCAACGTTGTTTTCATCAACATTAGGTTTTGACCAATTTACTATCAGGTAGTTAGTTCTGTATGTGATTTTTGATGTTTTGTTAAATAATATTTACTATTAAATGATTTCCAGCACATGTCACATTTGAATTTCTTTTCGATCATATGAAGAGCCATGTGTTTTTGTAAATTACTATTTCGATTAAAAGCTTTATTGCAAATCCCACAGATGAAATCTTTTTGGATTGATCCATCATTGTGCAATGATTTGATGTGTGCATCTAGGTTTCCTTTTTGCGCAAATGATTTAGTACAAACGTAACAGCGAAATGGTTTTTCACCAGCATGCCCGGCTTTAATATGTCTGGTAAGATGAGTGTTTCGTGTGAATGATTTGTTGCAAAGTTTACAAGAAAAGGGTCTTTCGCCTGAATGTGACCTCATATGTGTTAGTAGATTGCTACCAGTATAAAATGTACTACCACATAACTCACATTTGAAAGGCCTTTCTCCAGTATGAAGCCTCATATGTGACTTAAGATTACTGCTTTGATTAAAAGCCTTTGGACAAAGACTACATTGAAATGGTCTTTCACCAGTGTGTATTAACATATGCTTTCTCATAACGGCATTATCGCAAAAACTTTTATGACAGACACCACACTCAACGGTTTTTTCTCCAGTATGAGATCTCATGTGGGCTTCAAGTTGGCTGTGGTACTTAAATTGCTTGTCACAGATCTCACATACATTTGCTGACTTCTCCTTTTTGTGAGTTTTCTTATGTATCCTGAGATGCGTTATACATTTAAATGTTTCCTCACATTCATCACATTCAACAGATTTTTTTTTACTAGGCATACTGATCTTAGTGTTGATCTTTTTAGTGCTAGGTTTAGATTTTCTATGAGGAAAAAGGTTTAATACTTTAGAGGTTTTAGAAATCTCATGTCCTTCATGTGTTTTTGTATGTTTTTCCAAATCCTCATAACGTAGAAATTTTTTCTCACAAACACTACATTGGTGAACAGTTTCTTCTTCTTTCTCATGTATTTCTTTCGTATGCTCCTCTAAATCAACAGCAGTCTCAAAATTCTCATCACATAATGTGCATTGATGAATATTATTTTCAATCTCGTCCATTGTTTCATGTTTAATATGGACTTTATTGTGATTTTCTAGGTCGCCGTATTCTGCAAATATTTCATCACAAGTCACACACTGGTGGAATACTTGAACATCATCAGAGGTTTCCTGTAAAAGTACAATTTTAAATGACAAAATGTTCACTAAAACTTTATATCATAAATATGGCAAAATTAATAACATTAAACAGTGTAGCAATCAGACAAAGTTAGTTGTGAGTCTTCTGCAAACAATACAGCTTTGTAGATTTAAGCAGAACAGATAGTCTGCCATCCGTCACAAAGAAAGTTTACAGTTATGTGGGCTTTATTACTGATAATTTATGCTGATAAGGCCATGGTTCATCTGTGTATAATAATAATAATATCTTTATTTAAGAAGGGTAAAGGATTAGGCCTACATGTATATACTATTCTGTTCTTTTTATCAACAGTATTCGAAGTAAGCTTACATGCATACCATTTGCTATCCAAATTTACTGTTTTTAGTTATTACATCCTGATGGGAACACAGATCTTTTAGTAAAGTGATTTTTAATCCATTGCATTACTGTGAAAGATAAATCTCTAACAGGGTTATATCAGTCTAAAAATGGTACATGTACCAGTGTTTTCAAAGATATGGTGACTTGAAATCAGTGAACATTTGGCATTCCCTGCTGGCATCCCCTGCAGACAACATAAAATTGGATATGGTCAAACCAAGCTAGCTTCACAGGCTATAATCTTCACTAATACCTTTGGATGGGAAATGAAATGAAATGGGGATCAGTGTCCCACTGTTCTGATCTGACTGGGCTAATGAAGACAGACTTTGGAGATGTTACTATGATTTTGTTTTCTTTCAATCCATCAGAGTACATTTTAGCATTGATTAAACAAACAAAAATTGGATATTATCCCAATAATGCAAAGAAAAATAACAAATTTTACGGCTTTAAGTTTGCCTTTCACTTACATTAGCTAGGCTACTTACCATTTGTATGCTACACTGAAACAGAGACAAATTTGAAAAAGAAAATTTGAAGTGCTGAACTACATGTGTATGGCTAGTAAACTATCAATAAACGACATAAAAAAAAACACAAACTGAACTTGAAATGCAAGTAAACAAATCTTTTAAAGTTGCTAAGTCTCTAACTCAGTATCATCCAAAATTTTCGACATTGAAAACAAATTATTTGTCAATTTAAATCAACATTGATGTTGTGATCTTACCGGTAAAAGATGGGCTTCTGATATCCAATATTTAAGACAAAATAAACATTTTGCCATTGGTACACGAATCGTGTGCAATACATGTATGTTTCAGCGCCATTTGTAACAATGGATTCGAAAAACGATGCTAGACATATCCCACAAGTCATGTCAAACGGTGACACCATATCTTATCTGGGGAGCATGTGCAATAAATACTATCGGTGTAGACTGGAGTAACCAGACCCTAGAGATTACCATTCGATTGAGGCTTCTGACATATTTCGTGGAACATAACTGATTTGAAATTAGAGTATAAACGGAAACGATTGAATGTAAATCAGTTTAAATACATTCATATTACATTATTTTATGCGTTGCGACCCACTTGTGTCAATTTCTAGGTTTAAAATATTAGCGATTTAGCTCCTTTAATTCTACTAATATGCCGTTATTCATATTGCGTATGATGATTGCCGTACTAAAACAAACCAACTCACCATATTTTTATTTTTTAGTCTTGAGTGTTACACAGTCTGTTTCTTGTACAGTGCAGGATGTAATCAATGTGCTGAGGAATGAAAGTCCAATCAGTACAGTAACAAATGTCATAAATTTAGTGAAATACTAAAACATACATGTACGCCATAGGGGAACAGGACAAAGTTTTCAACTTCAAATACATATGTACGTTCGGGTATTGAAACAAAGAAGCTCTGGCTTTCTTCAAAAAGCTTGTCGAAGTCAAAATTCCAGAGTTCTGTAAAACTAAAAATAAGACGGCAAAAGGTTGTGCCAGGAATATCTAAACCTCTTTTTGAATAAAGGCTATCAAAGACAATGACAGAACACCGATTAACCATTAAATTGCACATTCGATGCGTTCGCCATCTTTATTTACGTGACGTAGACAGCTATCGTTGTATCGAAATTGCGGACATGGACACTACAACCCGAGTAACTCATTCATGGTCTGATATGAGCACCCCCAACTCGTTACGAAGTTCAATTGTCATAATAATGTTATAAAAGTACGTATATCATGGCCTGATCGGATATGATCTAGTCGTAAAACACCATGACCAGACATGGGGTCGATTAAATTGCTTGGTAATGGATTAAATTACAATTACTTTCATATTTGTATTCTTACAACTACTTTTTATTATTTAATTACATATAACAGATCATACACTATTTTAGGCAGAGGTCTACAATGTCAATTTAACAACAGTGGGCCTATATGGATATATACAAATTCAAATTTTAATTAAATTTTTAGTTGTGACTTAAAGATTGTGAAAGTCTGAGATTCTTTAATGTTTACTGGTAACTGATTCCAAAGGCGAAGTGCAGCAGCACTGAAACTTTTATCACCAAATTGTTTTAGTTTTGTTTTGGGAACAGCAAGTATATTATTGCCATGCGACCTTAGCGCACGTTTGAGTTTATAGTTTGTCAAAAGTTCAGACAAATATAAGGGAACAAGATTATTTTGACATTGATACACTAATGACAGAACTTTATACTGAATCCGGGGTTCGACAGGCAACCAGTGAAGAGACTTTTAACACTGAGTTTATGGATGAATATTTTGAAGTTCTTGTTACAATCCTGGCAGCGATGTTCTGGATTCTCTGTAATATATTTGTAAGTGTTTGGGTGAGTCCGAAGAGCAGACTGTTTGCATATACAAAACCGGACAGTATTAGCGCCTGAACAGCTGTCTACATGCCATCCATACTTTACCCAGCGGCTCTCTATGAAATGAAAATAATCATGGGGACCGACCGGTCCACAGAAAGGAAGGTCATTTTTTAGGGGTTTCCATCACCAAAATGTTCATATAGTGACCGTAACATTTATTCGTTAAACTAATTATATGCACGTTAGTATTACCAAGGAATTGACTTGGGTCTACAATGTTGACTTTTATTATTTATCTACTAAAAACCAGCCGTCTTTAGCCGACCCCCTCCCCCTTTAATATTTTGTATTTGAACTAAAGTTCTACTGCTAATAATTAAATCCTTAGTTTGTCATTTTTCTAATCTAGTATATAGCCTTTATATTAAAATAGAAAAATGTAAAAAAACACCGTTGACAGGCCTGCTTGTGTTCACATAAAAAGTCATCATATTATAATATCAAAAATCTTTATTACACTAGTAATGGCGTTTCTGGTGCATGACACATATAATTTAAACAAGAACTGATAATAAAAGTATGATAAAAATATCTACATGTATTTGATATAAGGTAAAACATAATCTATTACAATCTGATACATGTAATTACAGAATGAGAAAAATATCTCTTTAATATTAGGTAAAACATAATACATTGCAATCTGCTAATTACAGTATGAGAACCAGCGGTTGTCAGGCAAGATACGCCCATATTTTGCAAGAGATGGATTGAGAACAAGGAAAAAAGACTATTTTTCATACAATCAGGGGCCAAAATCCAGGATGTTATGGTCTGAAATGCGCGAATATTGACATGGACTGAGATATTTGGGATATATATTTTAAGTTTCATTAAAGTTTGCGTACGAGGGGCGGCCATTTTGTCAGGCAGTTTCGATCAGATTTTCAGAAAATTCGAACTCAATCATCATTAGGGCGTAACGGTGATATATTCAAACGTTTTTTTTTTAAATCGGATAAAAATTGTGATCTCTATAGAGGGAACACAAGCTAAAAACGAGATTTTTCGTACAATCAAGGGCCATAATTCAGAAAGTTAAGATCCGATAAGCGCGAATATCAAAAGGAACCAAGCTCTTTGAGCTATAAACATGCATTTCAAATTTCGAACTCTCACGAAAGGGGAGTTATTTCCAATAAAAGTATGGCAAATGTGCATGGTTATGGCGACACCAAATCGTATTAGAAAAATACTGGATTACCTGAAAAGCACCCACGATGCGAAAGCAGGACAAAATATAAGAGGATCACCAACAGAGAGTTTGTCCGCTTGTTGTCTGCTGAATGGCGTAAGGGGCGCTTGGGGCAATTTAACCCTCGCGATCTTCTAGATTAGGATTTCTGTCTAGTAAAATTCTGTATAAAAGCCTTATCCAAGCCCGTCAGTCACTCAGGGAACAGCCAAGGGGCTAGGTTAGCAATTTCGAAAGTATGGCTCAGCACAAAATTTCTAATCTTTAAGTGTCCCTTAGTGGTTGAGAAACACATTAACAGAGCACAATTTTTATGGGAAACAAACACTGGTAATGATATTTCATGGAATTGTGACCTGTATATTCCAGTTCAATTACATTGTACTTAATGTCATTGAAACAATTTATCAGTATATCAGTATTGAGATGTGGCAGTCAAACTCGTTAATCAAATACGAAAAATAGAAATAAAATGAAATGAGGTTTAACGTCCTACTGTTCTGCTCTGACTGGACGAAAAATAGAGGATTAAATAGTATGTAACAATCTTACTTTCCTAATGCTATGCAGAGATGTTGGTAGAGTACCAAAGAACCCTTTTATCAAGTTTGTCGACGATTGAATGAAATTGACATATACCATTTCAGAATAACATACGCTAATGTTTATTAAACATTAATCCGTATTCCATTTTATAGGATATATATGTACTGTGTAAAGGTCCGTTCATACTACATGTACATCCGTATCCGTATCTGTAAATACGTGTGTGAATACGTACTGGTATACTTTAGTTACTTTTAGAGAAAGGGTTCAAAAAGAATCCGGCACGTATTGCGCACAAAAACAACTGCGTCCGTTAAGCCGGATTGATTGCTCCCAGAGCGTATTTTTGTAAAGTGCGTATGGCATTTCGGCTAGTGAGCCGAGCTTTAGCCAATCAGCGAGTACTTTCCCCTTATTACATCATCTCCCCAAATAGAAACTCAATCCATTCCAAGAAAAGCCTGGCCTTGTGTGCTGTGGATTTGTGTTGTCTTGTGAAGAACACAACATGGACAAGACAGAGGAAATATTGTCTGAATTTGTGCGGATGAAAATACAATTCTTGCACCAGGTTGTGGTATTCTCCATATTTCTTCCTTCTTTGTAACAGTTCATGGACCCCTACTCTCTTTTTTCTCTTTCGTCTTTGGGTCCACAAATACAAAAGAAAGACTTCCTCTGTGTCACTGTCAGACTCCATGATTGCAAATGACAATATGTTATCTCTGACAGACAATTCAGCCTTGAAAGCCGGACGTTTTCGCGTTTTCTATTTGAACGGCAAAACATGGATACGGATGCGGGTGCCGATACGGATGCGGATACGTTTATGGATACGGATGTAGTATGAACCGAGCTTTACCGCTTATGGTCCGTTCATACTACATCCGTATCTGTAAATACGTGCGTGAATACTTACTGGTATACTTTGGTCATTTTTAGAGAAAGGGTTCAAATAGAACCCGGCACGTATTGCGCACAAAAACAACTGCGTCCGTTAAGCCGGATTGATTGCTCCCAGAGCGTATTTTTGTAAAGTGCGTCCGGCATTTCGGCAAGTGAGCCGAGCTTTAGCCAATCAGCGAGTACTTTCCCCTTATTACATCATCTCCCCAAATAGAAACTCAATCTCGCGTTTTCTATTTGGACGGCAAAACGCGGATACGGATGCGGGTGCGGATACGGATGCGGATACGTTTATGGATACGGATGAAGTATGAACAGAGCTTTATGGCTAAGATACCTCAGGATATAATACGCCACACATGCGTACCTTTCCTAAAATGTTTGGGATCAATGCCAATTTTTTGTTCAAACCGGAAGTGGTGTTGTTGGTTCCACTCGATCACCAGTCCCTATAGTAAGCATACATATTTCGGATTAAGTTAAAATTTACTACTGTATTTGGCCAAAAATCTGATCAAATGGGTTGTTTATTAGGATATTATCAACAAGAACTTACGTTTTTTAACGTTTAGTACACAAAGCCGTCGCGTAAATCCAGTCATACTGAACAGTACGCGGTGACCGAATTCACGCCACATAGCTAATTGGTTACATCACGTGGTTTGTTTGACAGCTTGCAGGTGACATGTATTCCGTTTGCTTCGATGTTTTTTTGTGCTTGCCGACAGTGTTTTTCAACATAAACAGAACAAAATTATGGGCATGTGAGACATATAATATAGTGCATTTTGGCACATAATGTCGACGTGGACGACGTTTCCTTTTTTTTCTTCCATTTCCTCTTAGGAATAGCTGGACTCGAATCTGTATAGGGCATTACTGTAGACCCATAGAAGCGATATCTTATATTCCGATAAGGGGGGTTGGATGGCTGAATGGTTAGCGTGCGCGCGCTGTATCATAAAGTCTGTCATTGAGTCGACTGGCGTGTTTTCGAATCCCCGGTTGTACGTGACAAGGAGTAGCGTCGCCTGTCCAACCTCGTGGGTTTTCTCCGGGTCCTCCGGTTTCCTCCCACTGCCAAAGACCCCTATGCGCAAGCGAATTATTGAAATAAAATTAAACCATATGTTAGTCCCGAAATGACCTAGTTTGTGTCGAGTGGACGTTAAACCCCATTTCTCTCTCTCTCTCTCTCTCTCTCTCTCTCTCTCTCTCTTATATTCCGATACACTGGTGTCTGATGTTGACATACTTTGGAAATTTATATATTTATTTGAATATATTAGGTGCCACATAAATAAAAACACTGTTAGCAGGCTCAGCACTCAAAAACATTCAAGCCAACGAAATATCTCTCACTTGCCGGGTGTCAAACAAACCACGTGATGTAAACGATTAGCCGTGTGGCGTGAATTGGTCCACAACGTACTGTTCAGTATGAGTGAATGTACGCGTCGGATTTGTATATTAAACGTTAACAAAAAACACAATTACATATTTATAATATCCAAATAAACAATTCTTTTGGTCGGATTCT